TTTTCAGATGCAAGAAGAAGTGAGGTTCTTACCCACGAAAGCTTATGCTCCCAATACTTCTGTTAGTCTTAAAGGTGCCACAGGACCCTCTGTTGCTTTTTACAGATTCAGACTAACACAGCTACCCCTCTGATACTCGAGTTCACATAGTCATCTTGTAGACTCAGGTCCTGGTCCTGTTCAGGTCTGTCTGCACTGCTATTAGACACTCATGGCTGGCCCATGCCAGCTGACTCAGTCTTGCCGGGCTCAGGCTAAGGGGCTGATTAATTGCCAAGTAGGGCAAGTGCCGTGTAGGGGCTCGGGCCGCAGCCCAAGCTCTGGGACCCTCCTTCCCCGCAGGATCCTAGAGCCTGGGCACTAGCCCGAGCCGAAAAGTCTACACTGCTGTTAAACAGCCCCTTGGCCTGAGCCCAAGTCAGCCGGCTTGGGCCAGCTGCAGGTTTTTAATTGCAGTTTTAGATGTTCTCTTAGTGAGCATCAGCTCTGAAATTGCCGTGAGAACCTTGTGTGGATATAGGTTATACTGCCGAACTTCTGAACCAAAGAAGAGATGGAAAAGATAAGACTAGAACTTTTCATCTCATGCTTCCCGGGTTTGTACAATGTGTGGCTTAGTGGATAAGTGCATTTGGGTCCCTCTCTATTAGCTAGTGCTAGTCCACTAAAAGGCTAAGAATCTACTATTATTACCAGCTAGCGAAGTTAGGCCTTTACCTCAAACAGCAAAGACTTGTGCTGAAGGTCCCTGCTAAAAACCCATGGTGGAGGTCATTGCATCTATCCTCGCACTTCCCTATAGTAGGGAACTCCTTTTGTTCTCCATCTCGGAAATTTTCTATACCTACCTCTCAATATAGAGCAGTTTCTAGTTATAATGTCAGCATGATTTTCTTTTCTTTTTTTTTATGATTGATTTCATTGGCAACAAAAGTCAAAGGTCATGTGAAATCCAGGCTGTTTCCCATTCTTTTTATTTCATTTATTTTGTCAGTGAGGAAATTCTAAACAGAGCTGTTGGAATTAATAATAATATTTGAAATGATTAATATGGGAAATCACCAAACACCAATTTAGCCATAAATTCCTTTATTAAATCCAAAGGCCACAGGGTACTTTATGCAGTTTCTCTAAACGTTCCAAAAAAGCCTAACTAATAAGCAATTTAATAGATCCAAACAGTCACAAAACATTTATAACACATTTGATCAATATACTTACAAATGGGCTAAACCCATGCTCGGTCCCATATTGGTTGGCTCCGACGTGGTCAGGCAGGTATTAGCAATGAACCCTTTAAGAGTTTATTTTTTATACCCTTTAACAAACAAGTGATGTCATTGCCAATTACTGACTCCAGCTAAAAACCAATTTGAGACCATTCACCCTTATTTCCAGGCTTAATTCAGATAAAATTTACAGTCTCTTTTCTTCCCAAGGCATTTCCTTTCTTATCTTCTTCCCCACTCTTTGCTTACCAGCAGAACAGTGGGAAGGTTTGGGCTTGTTTCTTTTAAGACAGTTTTTCTTTGTCTTCTTACTGCATCTCTTTATTTTATTAGTTACTTTTGAAACCATACATCCTTCCCACACTACAAATAATACTACTTATTATTCTCACGGCCTCTTTTACTTGCTGATTGGGGCCTTCATTTCAACACATATCTTTATCCTTAACCAAAAACTTAAGCTAACTTTAATTCTTTAATTTTATACTTATCCTACAAGAGTTAAGGCTTTTCCTCCTCCAGCCCTCTTGAAATGAAGAAACCAACAGTGAAAGAGGAACTCAGGCAGGTGGGCAGGGCTGGGTTTGCTGTTTTCCAAAGAGTGCTTCTTGACACTATCAAGTTCCATGTCCCTCTTGTAAATTTCCTTCATCTCTAGCAGATACCGGCACCTGTAACGGCCTCCTGTACACCTTAGGGGCCAATCTTGAAAACACCGGTGCACATGCTTAACTTTGCTCCATTAACTAGGCCTGGTGATGGCAATGCAACTGCTCATAGGCATGAAGTTACTTATAGTCTGTAGAGGCGTTTGTCGAATCAAAGCTCTAGACCGGGGGGTCTCAAACTGGGGGTCGTGATCACTCAGGGAGCCATGAGGTTATTCCATGGGGGGTCCCGAGCTGTCAGCCTCCACCCCCAAAGCCCGTTTTGCCTACAGCATTTATAATAAATGTAAAATAAAACAATATAAAATAAATATTAAAAATGTGTTTTCACTTTATGGGGGACGGGTCACACTCATAGGCTTGCTGTGTGAAAGGGGTCACCAATACAAAAGTTTGAAAACCACTGCTCTAGACTATAAACTCTTTGGTGGCAGGAACTCATTTTTATTTTTCCCTGTGAAGTAACCAGCACACTTTTGCGTTATTTACTCCTTCTCTTAACACAAGAACTAGTAGTCACCAAATGAAATTAATAGGCAGCAGGTTTACAACAAAGAAAAGGAAGTATTTCTTCACACAACGCACAGTCAGTCTGTGGAACTCTTTGTCAGAGGATGTTGTGAAGGCCAAGACGACAACAGGCTTAAAAAAAACTAGATAAATTCATAGAGGATAGGTCCATCAATGGCTATTAGCCAGTATGGGAAGGGATGGTGTCCCTAGCCTCTGTTTGCCAGAAGCTAGAAATGGGCAAGAGGGGATGGATCCCTTGATGATTACCTGTTCTGTTCATTCCCTCTGGGGCACCTGGCATTGGCCACTGTCAGCAGACAGGATACTGGGCTACATGGACCTTTGTTCTGACCCAGTATGGCCGTTCTTATGTTCTTATGTTGCCACTATACAAATAAAAATAATGGGCTCTATCCTGTAAAATGCTGAGCATTCTGTCCCCAATCCAGTAAAATCAGTGGGATTATTCATGTTCTTAAAGTAACCACGTGCTTATGCGCCTTGTTGGATTGAGGCCAGAGCTCTCAGAACCTTGCAGGACTGAGCCCAAAAAGAGCAAGTCAGAGAAAATAGAAAGAAATCCGAGACGGAATCCCTTAGTTATTCCTGATGTGAGATCTTCGGAAAGGTGTCAAGACAAACCAACCGTAAAGCCTGTGTATTAGTTAAAGCAATTTACTGTAATTTAGGCTTCTGGAAGTTGCAGACATAAATCTCTTTCTGGCTGGCAATCTGGAAATTGTAGCATTCTAAGTGTTAAATGTAGATTGTCCTGTAAAAAGCACAGAACAAAGAAGATGAAAACAGTTCTGTAAAATGTACTTTATTATGTATCATCTTCCCCTAAAATGAAACTACTTTGAGCGTATTCAGACACCAGCAGGAATAATTCATTGTATCATCTCCGTGCAGGGTGGCAACTTGCTTTCATATCCCCTGTTGCTTTGAACAAATAAATGCTTTCTATGGTACCTGTTGTCATCAAACAACTCCGATAATAACAATGTCTAGCAAGGCTCGATGTGAGGAAATTATTGTAACTGGGTGGGGGGAGGAGGGAGAGGATGCAGCTGTTTTCCATTGAGCAAGCCAGTTTCAGAGCACTGCCCCAATTTCCCTTTAAGATTGAGCCGGCACTTGCACTAAGCAGGGGTATTTGCTTTGTGTCTGTTCGTGTTTCATTGCAAGTCCACCAAGCATTTGACACGTAAACTGCATGCCGGACCCACATCACATACCTTCCAGCAAATCTAGCCATGGCTAATCATGCACAGTGGCAGGGCATATGTTTTGTTTAGTCTACTCAGTTTGCTTTGGTGCTCAGTATTACATAATTTATGCCTGGTTTCTGGGCAGTGTCTGTTGTTCCTAATTGAAGCTTATTACAAGGGTCACAATAGAGAACAAAATGGGCAGTTTAGCTGAGCACGAGGTAATGAGTTAAAGTTGAAATAATGCACTTCAGAAGGGTTCCTCCTAAAACTCCCTATGACATCTCTACATTTCCTGCTGAAATCAGCATTGGGTGTAATCTCTGAAAGGATTCCAACAATGAAGTATGGGAGGGAGGGAGAAGAGAGCTGAACAATAATATAGGATGGACCTTTTGAAGTTTTTCATGAAAAACCAGAGAGAGACTCACCCCAGAACAGCCCAGTAGTTAGAAAACTCACCTCACAGACCCAGGTTCAAGTTCCTCTGAGAAGAGGGATTTGAATCAGGGTCTCCCACATTGCAAGAGAATCCTCTAACCAATTGGCTATTTGGAGTAGGGTTATCTTTCTGCCCTTTTCTGGCTTTGACCAGAAATTCCATTCTGGACTTGAGAAACTTTCCCAACGAAACTGATAAAACTTTTCAGAGGAATGTGTTTTTGACAAATCAGCATTTTCCGTTGAAAACACGTTGTCAAATAATTCCCCGACCAGCTCTATTCACAACAAGCATGCCAGCAAACCCCTCTTTCAGGGATCTCATCCTAAACACTGATCCCCCTTCCCAGGGAGCAACTCTACTGCAAGAATTGACACCGGCTGCAGAGATTAAGGCAGAGAGCAAACTTCGTTGATGATTGCACAAAAAATCTGCCACAGAAAACCAACTCCAGCACAGCATTTTCTTCCAAGCCTGGAAACTTGCTCATGTACTAAGAAAAAGAACTTGTAAGACTGTGTGTTTCCCAAAAGCTTTCTTGTTTGCAAAGGACAATTCCAACAGAAGTTCTGACTCCTAAGATTAAGATGCATGGAGTGAAAGTTACAGATCTGTAACTTTCACTCCATGCATCTGAAGAAGTGAGGTTTTTTACCCATGAAAGCTTATGCCCAAATAAATCTGTTAGTCTTTAAGGTGCCACTGGACTCCTTGTTGTTTTTGTGGCTACAGACTAACACGGCTACCCCCCGATACTGAGATTAAGAAAGATTGATAAATTTCTACAATAAAATAGGTGTGTCTCTGCAAAGTTATATTTCACAAACTACCTCCTGCATGTCATATTGGAGTGTCATTCTCAATTTAAAATGCCATCATGAGAATAATATGGTAACACAGAACAGTACACTCTGAATGGTACTTCCATCGGCTGTGAATATCCATCCAGTTCAACTGAAATATGCCAGTCTTGATGTGAAATTGTTTATCTATTAAATGCAATATCATAAGATAAAATATTTTAAAGGAGAAAAAATTGTTTAAGAGGAGACTTTAAACCTTTCTTTCTTTCTGTTTATAATTGTTTGGAAACTTGAAACTGCTTTCTAACCAAACTTTATATCCTCAGAACAAACAGTGGTTTGTTATTTACGGTTTCTCATGAGAAGCTCAGGTCCTGCTGGCTCTGAAATTTTTTTTTTTATTTGAGGGAATCACTGCAGCTGCTAATAAAAGTCTATAATGCATAACAGTGCTTAGTTTCTTGACCATGGGGTATTATAGTATAACATTTCTTCTAAAAGATGAACTAGTCTTTTTAATCTTTTCAGCTTGCCAGAAAAGTTAGATTTGAACAAGAAAGGAGGAATCTAAAATGAATTTAAAAAGAAATCTGTCCGGTTTTATTTGTGGAATGTGTGATCTGGGGAAATTAAATCCATGTGGGTCTTCGTTGATCAAAATCTCCAAAGTCTATAAGCACTATAAAGATAAAGGACTCTAATGGCATTGATGGTCTTGGAATAAACAGATTTTATATTAGCTTTAACAATGAGTTTCATCTCATGTAGCTATAAGAAAGCCTGCATGATATCCTCCATGAGTGATTCTAACTGTTGTAGTGAAACAGACCAATGGTCCACCTAATCTAATATCCAGCCTCCAACAGTGACCCAGTCACAGATGCTTCAGAGGCAGGTATAATGTTCCCATAATACACATATTTTTGCAAAGATATGACACTGCATCATGGTATAAGGCAGTGCAGCTCTATGGAAATTAATGGATTTGTGCTGACACCCAGGCTAGATTTAGCATTTACTGTTCAGGCTTTAAAAGGATGTCACTGTGACATGTCATTCCATATTCTTTATGAAAAGATGCTTATGATAGGAATGTGATATAACTGAGATATACTTTATGCAAGATCGTTCATGTGAGACCTCATTGGAAAGGTTATGATTTACCGAATGTGATTATGCAATTTGTATGCCTGTGTCATTTCTGTATCTGAAGTTAGGAATATTGACATGTATCTGTAGTTCCACTATGCTACTTTGGGTGACGCCCACTGCTATCACTTCAGGTATAACAATGGAAAAGCCAGACAGGGCGGATGGCCCATCAGTGAGGACAATGGACTGTGAAAAGGTTGGCCTTCCTGTGGATGCTCCATACTGCCACTGACTCATGGACGCTGTGATCCTACAGAGTCAGGTGGTCTTGTCACCTGATACTAAAACATTACCTGGGACTTCTGGTAACTTTCCACTGGAAGGAAGGGGGGGGGGAAGTTTGGGAAACGAAGGATTCCCTCCTTATGTAAATCCTATTTAAGGGTGAGGAGGAAGGCAAACTGGACTCCTCCTCTCCACGGCTGTCTGCCCAAGAAGAAAGACTGCAAAAGCCACCTGAAGGGAAGGCAAAGGGGGAGTCCAGACTGAGACAGGGGTCCAGTCTGAAAAGGAATATAACTGGAACTCTGAACTACAGAAACTTTGCAACCTGCCTGCAACAACATCTAAAGTGAGAAATACTATTTGTAACCAATTTCTTTAGTGAAACTAGCTTAGTTTGAGTGTTTGATTTCATTTGGTCAGTAATCTGCTTTGTTCTGTTTCTTACCCCTTTTACCACTTAAAATCTGCCTCTTATAGTTAACATTTGTTTTGTTTATTATTAAACCCAGTTTCTGTAATTTCTAACTGGGGGGCAAGAAGTGTGCACACCTCTCTCCACATTGAGGGAGGGGGCGAATTTCATAAAACCTTTGGGTTTGTACCCCTTAAAAGGAGTGAGCACCAGAGTGCTGGAGCAAGTTCCTTAAGCTGAGTCTTCCCAGAGCTGATCTGCAGATGCGTGTGGCTGTGCCTGTGTGTGTGTTAGAGCAGTGGTTCTCAAAGCCGGTCTGCTGCTTGTTCAGGGAAAGCCCCTGGCGGGCCGGGCCGGTTTGTTTACCTGCCGCGTCCGTAGGTTCGGCTGATTGCGGCTCCCACTGGCCGCGGTTCACTGCTCCAGGCCAATGGGGGCTGCAGGAAGCGGCGGCCAGTACATCCCTCAGCCCACCCCACTTCCCACACCCAGGGCCGCCGAGAGCGGGTTCGGGCCCCGGTGAAAAAAAAATTTCGGTCCCCCCAGCAAAGGCAGAGCGGCAAAAAATAATGATACTACCGAGAAAGACAAAAACATATGCAACATAGTCGGGCCCCGGGCCCCCTTCCGGACCGCTGGGCCCCAGTAATTTGTACCGGCTTTCCCCCCCCTCTCGTCGGCTCTGCCCGCAGCCCCCATTGGCCTGGAGCAGTGATACTCAGTGGTATCTCAGCACATCAGGTGGCTTCCTAAGGGGCCACATAACCCATCACAGCCACCTTATAGCCCTTGCCTAAACAATATGATACTGGTGCCCTCTGCTCCGAACTACAATTGCTGTCTATGCATTATCATTTATAAACCCTTCCTTTGCCGTAACATCGAACAGTTCCTGGATCTAAAATGGATCTCGAATTACAGCCCTCTGAAGATTATACAGTGAAACTCCCACTGATTTTTGTAAAACAAAAATGTGAAGTGATTTAAAAAAAACCTGGTTTGAAAAGAAGCGTAATTCACATGTGGAGAGTTCGTTTTTTAAAAAAAGAAGTCAGGTTGTAGCTGTGTATATTCTTACCCAAAATTAGAACAAAGTGAATTTAATCCAAGATGTATGAAGAATCCATTATAAAGTTCAGAACACAAAAGGGAAAATTTCAGGGTGGGTTGCATTTCCCCCTTGAAAATAAAGCATCCTTCATCCATAAACAGCTGGCATGGTCTTTACTTACTCTTGGTGCTGACAAGCCTTTGAAACGATGGGAAATCCTGGGCTCATGTATCCCTGATATTCTGTTACATTGCAATCTGTGACCTTGCTGTCTGAGCCTGCTTGGGCACTGAAATATCTTTCTCCCTCACTGATTCCTGTCAGAGGTTGAGGTCATTAGGAGGGCAGTACACACAGCAACTACATTTTCTTCCTCTGAGTTGGGGACTCTTTGCTGCCAGTTTTCTGGCTTTCATGAGCCCTGTCATTTGGTACCTTAAACAAAACAAAACAAAACCAAAAAACATTTTAGCATAATGCAAAAAATGTGTTCTCTGGTAGTTTAGAAGGGCCCTTTACGTACAAGCAATGGATTTAATTCTTGCAGTAAGCAGCACAATATTTTACCTCCGTTGTAGCATAGATGACAGGAAAGGGAAATCTCCCATAAATTACAGTTGCAATTTAAAATGTTGGCGACTAAGCGGTCATGAACTTCCTTTAGTCGTTGGAAGAGGCTCCTCTTGTTAGCTGCAGGGTACCTATTGTATGTGGTCTGGCTAGTGAAACATTCCAACGGCTTTCTCTGCTGTCCCGTGAGGGTCTACTGGCTGAAATGACACACACAGTCAATCTCATTCATGAAGAACATACTCATGCAGCGGAACAAGAAGACGCCCCACTAAATAACAAAGACATGGGGGCAGACCTTTATAGACTCAGCAACCACATCCCCTGCATTTTGCAAAGGACAAAGTAATCAATCCAAGTGTCAGAGGAAACCCTGATTCTTGGCTCCTGATCCCCTAGGCTCCTATTCTTATACAGTCAACAAAAGGGGTTTGTTCAGGGCCAACGACTCTGTTTTCCCAGTTTAGCTAAGTTTATGAGACTACAGGTGGGAGTATTCAAAACCTTATGCCCTCATTTATGTTTCTCTTTCTAGGTTTTCCTTAGCCCTCATTTCACAGCTGCAGCTGATTAACCATATCTCTGGGGCTGAGATTCGCCTTGGTTAACAGCAGCATAAATCTGGAATTACTATGGATTTACACCAGTGTGAACGAGAGCAGCATTAGGCTCTTTGTCACTAATTTCGACCCTTGTGTTATTCTTGGTGCTGTATTATTTGAACTGAAGTAAAACAGCATAAATCTGGAGTAACTCCCCTTTGGGACCCGAGTTTACACAAAATTGTCTCTGTTCTTAAGGAATTTTCCACTGCAGAGCTACAGTAGATGATTCTCCATGTATATTTTGGTTCTGGAATTGGTTCAGCATGGTTGGAACATTCCACTTGGCAGTTAGGAAGTTGAATGATGTATTAATTTTTTCCACTGTATTATAATATCTAACTGGTCCGTATTACAACATACAGTCTGTCCTTCCACTGATTGAACCACATTCCACTCTGATTCAGAACTGGGCAAGCCTGTTGAAGTTAATATGGGGTTACACAAGTGTAGCTGATGGCTGAAGTGAGCCCCATATGGGTTGGAAGTGATGCTTTTATTCTGAAAACCTCCCAAGCGTTCGGAACGCTTGGGAAAAAATGAAATGTCTGACTCCATGGCGCATTAACAAAACCTGCTAATGGTTTGAATCACAATTGATGCAGTTTTTCTAAAGGAAAAATCTTTCCTCAGAATCCCATCTCCACCCAGCAGGCAGCTTCCACAATCATGCACTGTTGCTCCAGTCAAAAGAAATTAAGGGGGCTAACAGCATTTCCCTAAGGCTTTCCAGTGGAAGCAGTGCTTGCTAATCTTTAGGAAATTATGCTAACAAGCTCTAGGCCTGAACTGCAGGAGTTCAATACACCAGTCTCTGAAATCATGCACAGCCTTTAATCTATCAGGGCTTTAATGAACCAGAAAATTTGTGCTAAGCAGAGATAGGAAAGAGGCTGTAAAATTCCTCCTCTTCAGAAACTGGGTTGATGACCGTGAAATATGAAAGCGCTTTTTTCAGGGCTGATCCAGCCAGGGACTGAGAAGCTCCTGGTAAATTCGGAGCCCTTTCAACTCCTACTGAAGTCACAGCATGTCAGCACGTCTCTGGATCAAGCCCATTGTGATTACAGATCAATAAGATGTTTGGCGTCAATGTCAGAAGGAAACTCACCTTTCAGACAATCTTCCATATTTCCTACTCTTTCAGGAGGCAGAAGCTGCGAGAGAGACCCTTAAAACACGTGGCTGATAAAACACAATCGCTAGAACTGGGCTGAAAATTTCAAAATAAAGATGAAATTTTGGCAACATTTAAATTGTTTTTTAAAAAACATGTTTTGCCCCATTTTTCCCAATGACCCCTAAAAGTTACTTATTTCCTGTGCAGTATTCTAGCCTGCTTGATTTCTATGGAATAATATTGCTTGATTACTATGGAATAGTATTTCTTATTGGACAGCATGCAGGGTTGATTGGTCTGTAAAAGAAATAAACTGCTGTTGTATTCATGGTAAACATCTGATTTAGTTTAATTAGAATCCCACACAATAGAAAGTGGAGAGACTAGGAACAAATGATGAGTGAAGTGGGGGGGCTCCCCCATTTAAGGGCTAAAAGCCTGGAGGTGGCCAGCCAGACCAGTACAATTAGCCCTACCTGCCACACCTGGGAAAGGGGGTGGGGTTTAGTTAATAGAACCAGCTGGGTCTAGAGGAGATGATGCTCTGAGAAAGAACAGTGGGAAGGGGGATGTTTAGGGATAGGAAGAAGAGTTAAGCTGGGGGTGAGAAGGTTCAGCTGAAGCCTGCTAAGGCAGGAAATGGCTTCTAGGAGTAAATGGACTTCTGCTGGGGGCTCTGAGGTATTCGGTGGGAACTGAGAGACTATAGAGCGAATTGGGAAAGATGATGCTAACTGCTGCAAGTGAGCAGGCTGCAGTCTTAGTGAAAAGACTCCGGGCAGGGAAGGCCTTGGAGGCCCCAGCATGAAGGATTACATGGGTGGACTTGTGGGAAGTTTGAGAACTCTGTTTTGGGATTGATTTGGTTACCTTACTTGATAAATCCAGCCCCATGGAGGGGTTTGGTGAAACTAAAGAAGTCTTTGTTTTTGGAGGTTGCTTTAAGGAGCCCTGAGCTGAAGGAGAGTGGGGAAACTGAGGTAGGGCTGCTGCAAACTGACCTCATAAGAGGGTACTTGGGAGCTGGCTGGCCTGGTTACAAAGGGTTTTACTCACAAGGAATTCTAATTGGCAATCCACAAGCAGCTTGTTTTCATTTTCTCCTTAAAAGAAACAGCCTAAGAACTTATTTTTTTCACTGATCCTGCGAAGAGTTCAATCAGCGTATTCATGTGCTTAAAGTTATGCACATGTAAGTCATTGCAGGATCAGTGCCTAAATTAAGGGGTCTCTGCTTTAAAGTTTATAGGACCACTGCCTAAGCTATCCTCCTATTATATCCAACAAACTATAAAGCCTGCCAAGAGTGAGGGTGGAGAATAACTAACTATTTTTAGAAGTGGAGGAAAGTGGTTTTTTGTTGTTTTTTGTTAAGTTTCGGGGAAGGGGATCAGAAAAATGTTGAAGTTTTTTTAAAAAAAAAATAGAGAGGTGTGGAAAGAATCTTGGAGCTAATCACCATCCTTGTGGGAATGGGAAGGATATTTTCATTTGCTTCGCCCCCCTGCCTTCTATTTCAAACACTTGCCTTCAAGTCACTGCATATGTTGGCCCCAACTCCAAACAGCTCTGTGGTGGTCTTCAGCAGCCCATCAATAGACTGTATACACTGTTTGGCATAGCTCCAGCTTCTGCGTGATGTCTTCCCCTAGAGAAGGCCAGGGAAGTCTGCGTCTCTGTGTGTGGGCTTTATATTTGCAGTAATTTAAAAAATAATACACCATCTTTGTTTGTTTTTTGGGTCAACTATTTAGCCTTCTAATCTCTGGGGGCAGTTCATCTAAAACCAAAAGCCCTCAGGGTGTCAGCTGTATTGGGATGAAAGGAGTGTCAATTCTATCTGGTGTTTTCTAATCTGGGACTGTTCCTCCTCTCTCATCAGCAGTTACTGCTTTTATTCTGTAATCTCTGCCAGATACAAACAAAGCAAATTTAATGTTTATACATAAACTGCAAAGATATAATGCAATAGAGCCAGGACTTTCACATATTTCTGATTGTCTTGACCCTTGTGAGATCACTTTGAAGCTTTTAATAAAATGCCCTTTATTTATTACATGATGAAAGGGAAAGTGCCAACTTAAACTTGGCTTCAAATTTAAAATTTTGTTGAAAGGAGATTCTGTGCCCCCTCAGACCGATGGGAACATTTCTGTGCACAAACTTCCCAATGAAAACTTAGCTGAAAGCTGGTATTCCCTCCCCTGAAGTGCTTAAAACCCACACATTTCAGCACTGAGTGTAATTCTTGCCTTACTCAAGTCGATGGAAGTTTTGCTGTTAATTGGGGGAGGGGGGCAGGATTTCACCATAAGGTTTGATGAGCCTATTACAATTTATACCAGCTGAGGATCGCGCCCCCCCCCTCTGTGAAATTGACTGTAACTAAAAGCCAGAGCGTCACAACTTGAAAACCTAGTCAGTTTCAAAATAGGAATGAAAAGTCATTTCAGGACCTTGAGTTCCCATTGCCAAATGTTCTCGTTTTACAATCATGTTTCCCTTTTAAAGAAAAATGTTTTTCCTGTTTATTTTGTGAAAGACTGACATGGACAGCAGGGGCAACTGACTACTAGACACAAGGGGCCTAATTCTCAGTTATTCTAAGGACACTACACTGACTCCTTAAGGCACCTTTATGTTACCAGAGCCATGTAAAGGAGCATCAATGAGAATCCGGCCCAATGTGCTGTCCTGAGCACAAAGTAAATTGAAAAGATAGGGAGCTCTATAGTGAGATCCTCGCCCTGTTGAAGTCAATGGGAACACTCCTATTGGTTTCAATAGGGCCAGGATTTCACTCCTGATCAGGGCCGGCTCCAGCATTTTTGCCGCCCCAAGCGGCGGGAATAAAAAGAAGCCGCGATCGGCGGCAGCTTTACCACCGCCGCTTCATTCTTCGGCGTCAGGTCCTTCCCTCCGAGAGGGACTGAGGGATCCGCTGCCGAAGAGCCGGATGTGCCGCCCCTTTCCGCTGGCTGCCCCAAGCACCTGCTTGCAGTGCTGGTGCCTGGAGCCGGCCCTGCTCCTGATCAGTTCCAGTGATCTTGGGTGACACTTGCTTTTTGAGGCAGGGACTATCTTTTGTGCTCTGTGTTTGAACGGCACTCAGCACAATGGGATCCTGACTAGGCTTCCAGGGCCCTAGGGCAATATAAATAATAATACTTGCAACAATAGGCAGTAAAACATTTTCAGGCAGGAGGGGCAGTTTAAAGTCTCTGGGTGTCCCTTGAAATTGGCCTTCATTGAGTTTCATGGCCCACGATGATAGAAATGCAAAAATTAACGGCTTGTATTTTACACAACAAACTACCACTTAAAGTGAATGTTGCTTCTTGCAGCATTTAGGGCCTCAATCAGTTGCTGCTCTGTGTTTACTCCCTAGACTTAAAAAGGAATTCTGCCTGTGTCAGGAGTCAGTGAAGATTCCAGGATTCGGCCCTATGTCCTGATATTTGGCTTTTACCCTCTTTCAAAGTAGGAGCCTGCTTGCAGGTATGAAATCAATGGCAGCATGTTGGGCCGATCCAATTCCCATTGAGTTCAATGGAAGGATGCCAATTGTCATTGATGGGAGATGGATGAGACCCTTGATGGAGGGAGGGGTAGTGAGCTGGCCATGCTGCCTGGCAGCTGTGA